AATAAAGAATTGATTGAATTGATTGATTGATTGTTTTCTCGGTCACAGTTTCTATAGTTATGGATGTTTGATAGGTTTCTACAAAACAGCTAAGAAAGCTCTGTAACTCATATGGTGTCCTAGTCTTGTGAATTGGTATGACAGAGAAAGATGAAACAGAATCGAATGATCGGACTGATCTTTCGCAAGTCTCTAGCTTTCCAAAAATTCCGCAATGCGCTATGCGCAACCGGATGCGCAGTAATAGTATAACCTATTTCGGCTATACTTTTGAAGGTCTTTTCATTTTTTATTGTCTATGGGCGGAGGATAAAAACACGCGCAAAAGTTAAAAATAATTTAACTTTTTTGCTATATCGCAAAAAGTTGACATTTCCCCGCTGCGGGACAAATTTTAAAAATTCAGCGTCTGCTACGCGATTTTTCGCTGCATGAGAACTAATAGTCGGGGAGCTGGCGTCGAAAATATGCAAGAGTTTTCGCAAGGCTCATATTTTCAGAATGAGTAGCATTTTAGTACTACAAAGCTAGGCTACAGTCAGCAGTTCCAGTTCCGGGACACCTGGCGCTGAGATGCGCGCAAAGGTGTATTTTTAATCAACACCTCGCAACAGTTTTCGCAAAGCTGAAAATTTGCAGAGAGCATGCGAATATAATGTAGAACCATAATTTAACAGTCAGACAAATAAATACGGGGACACGTAGAGTCAGCGCGACTTTGAAGTGGTCAAAAAAATGACGTCACCGAAAGTGTTTTCGCATGGCTGAAATTTGGCAAGGTAATAGTAAAAACAATATATTTATTGAAAAAAACAGTCAGACACTTCTATGTCGGGACCGCGCCAGTCAGCAGTCGATTAGAGTGATATAGGTGGTAGCGCGCGTCAATAGGCATATATCCATGTCGAATAATAATTTCACCAAAAGTGTTTTCGCATAGCTGAAATTTGGCAAGGTAATAGTAAAAACAATATATTTATTGAAAAAAACAGTCAGACACTTCTATGTCGGGACTCCCTCAGTCAGCAGTCGATTAAAATGATATAGGTGGTAGCGCGCGTCAATAGAATTTTACTCTATATATAATATCCATTTCGATGAATAATTTTATTTTTATAATTTAAATTATTTGGAATCGGAAACGGTAAAATAAAATTGTACATGCAGTTAAAAAGTTTGCGGTTAGAAAAAAGCCCGATTCGTATAAATATTACTTGACCATTTAATCAGCAGTACTGTGATAGTATACCTATAGTAATTAAATAAATTCAGTTTTAATTATATTTATTGTAGTTTCATTAAATACTTATAATCGTCGCCGATTTTATAAAATACAAAAAAAAAATTCTAATCACATCTGCCGCTTCCCTTCCCCTAATCTCGACCTAACAGTACCATAATGAAGTTTCCGAATTCGAATGCATATACGCCTTATTCAAGTATACGCGCTTACGCTTGCAACTTACAGGTTTACACTTACTCATTAAGAGAAAAAAAAATGTATTTTACCGTTTCCGATTCCAAATAATTTAAATTATAGAAATAAAATTATTCATCGAAATGGATATATATATATAGAGTAAAATTCTATTGACGAGCGCTACCACCTATATCACTCTAATCGACTGCTGACTGGCGGGGTCCCGACATAGAAGTGTCTGACTGTTTTTTTCAATAAATATATTGTTTTTACTATTACCTTGCCAAATTTCAGCTAGGCGAAAACACTTTTGGTGAAATTATTATTCGACATGGATATATGCCTATTGACGCGCGCTACCACCTATATCACTCTAATCGACTGCTGACTGGCGGGGTCCCGACATAGAAGTGTCTGACTGTTTTTTTCAATAAATATATTGTTTTTACTATTACCTTGCCAAATTTCAGCTATGCGAAAACACTTTTGGTGAAATTATTATTCGACATGGATATATGCCTAATGACGCGCGCTACCACCTATATCACTCTAATCGACTGCTGACAGGCGGGGTCCCGACATAGAAGTGTCTGACTTTTTTTTTCAATAAATACATTGTTTTTACTATTACCTTGCCAAATTTCAGCTATGCGAAAACACTTTTGGTGAAATTATTATTCGACATGGATATATGCCTATTGACGCGCGCTACCACCTATATCACTCTAATCGACTGCTGACTGGCGGGGTCCCGACATAGAAGTGTCTGACTGTTTTTTTTCAATAAATATATTGTTTTTACTATTACCTTGCCAAATTTCAGCTATGCGAAAACACTTTTGGTGAAATTATTATTCGACATGGATATATGCCTATTGACGCGCGCTACCACCTATATCACTCTAATCGACTGCTGACTGGCGGGGTCCCGACATAGAAGTGTCTGACTGTTTTTTTCAATAAATATATTGTTTTTACTATTACCTTGCCAAATTTCAGCTATGCGAAATCACTTTTGGTGAAATTATTATTCGACATGGATATATGCCTAATGACGCGCGCTACCACCCATATCACTCTAATCGACTGCTGACTGGCGGGGTCCCGACATAGAAGTGTCTGACTTTTTTTTCAATAAATACATTGTTTTTACTATTACCTTGCCAAATTTCAGCTATGCGAAAACACTTTTGGTGAAATTATTATTCGACATGGTTATATGCCTATTGACGCGCACTACCACCTATATCACTTTAATCGACTGCTGACTGGCGGGGTCCCGACATAGAAGTGTCTGACTGTTTTTTTCAATAAATATATTGTTTTTACTATTACCTTGCCAAATTTCAGCCATGCGAAAACACTTTTGGTGACGTCATTTTTTTGACCACTTCAAAGTCGCGCTGACTCTACGTGTCCCCGTATTTCTTTGTCTGACTGTTAAATTATGGTTCTACATTATATTCGCCTGCTCTTTGCAAATTTTCAGCTTTGCGAAAACTGTTGCGAGGTGTTGATTAAAAATACACCTTTGCGCGCATCTCAGCTCCAGGTGTCCCGGAACTAGAACTGCTGACTGTAGCCTAGCTTTGTAGCACTAAAATACTACTCATTCTGAAAATATGAGCCTTGCGAAAACTCTTGCATATTTTCGACGCCAGCTCCTGGACTATAAGCTTTATAGCTCCTGCTGAAAACCTGTTCAGAACTGTAGAGTACTGTTGAAGTATTTTATATTTGTATAGTTCTGCTGAAGTACTCTATAGACATGTTGAAGAACTTTATAGTCCTGTAGAAATAGTTAAAGTACCGGGTGATTGTCTATATTTTGCACCCACACCTATCTCACCTATTTGAAGAGATACCCTGTGTTTTTATTCTCATCAAATTTAACCGATGGATCCACCATTCTATGGCCGTCATTGTCATTTTCCATTCACCAAACAAAGATAGCTAAGTCATCGGTGAAGTCACTGATGAGAATAAAAACGAGGGAATACCCAGAAATGTCAAATGTGAAAGTTGTAGATAATGGGCTCTTTCCAAAATTCACCGGTTTCTGAACCGGTGCGATACCGGTTTCTGAACCGGTGCGATACCGGTTTAATAGTTTACTCACCAAACCGTTCCAAAATGTACCGACTTTTTACCGGTTGAACCCGATCGTTCGTTCCAAAATTGAGCGGAATGATCAGCTGTTTAAAACTGGTGAGGCACCGAATCCACTGGGAATTTTTGTCGGTTTTTTCGGTTGAAGGTTTATTGACACTTTTTTTTTTACGTACATTAATTTAATTGCTTTGAATGGGCACTATTGGCAGTCTATTGTTAAATTGCTGCTTGCAGATGGCAGAATAAAAAAATATTTGTGCGTGGGCGTCATTATGAAATCGACAAACCAAATACTCAACTCCCATAATATACAAAAATCGTACTGAAAACTACCGTTTGTTGACTGTTAAAAATAATAAAAATACATACCAACCTCACTGCATCCCACAAAAAAATCCATTCCAAAAAATAATAAGCAACACCACCAAACTTTGACACCAAAGCGTTCCAAAATGCACCAGAGAGATCTTGTAACCGGACTTGCATCTTTGGACAGCTACCGGTTTATTTAACCGGTCAATTTATCGGTGAAATTTGGAAAGTGCCCAATATCATTTTAGGTTTATTTCTAATAGTCCAGGGGCGAGTTCAGGAATGACACACCCAGTGTGAGTGTGACGCCCTAGCTGTTCAAAAATGCTAGACTATGCTATGGCCAATTGTCAATTCAGGCACACCCATAAAATCGCACTCGCGTCCTGTGTGTTATTTCTGAACTCGGCCCAGGAGAAAATATGACAAATGGGGCGGAATAATTGCATTTTTATTGAAAAAGGTGAAGTATAGAGACCACCAGCAAAATACAAAGGTAATCACTCGGGTAATCATTCATATAAAAAAATCCATATTATTTCTTCAAAATGGGATACTCAGCGGCTGGACTATAAGGAATAAACCTAAATAACCTAGTAAATTTGGAATCAGGTTTGAAAGGCTAATCCAATGGGACAATAATATATGGGATTTTCCATTTAAAAAAGTATAACTTTGCTTCGTCACACTTTTGTGTCACACCCTTTATACTTGTTATCATTAAAAACTTTCTGATATTACCTACAACTTTTACATTTGACATTTCTGGGTATCTCTTTAAACAGGTAAGATAGATGTGGGTGCAAAATATAGACAATCACCCGGTACTGTATAGTCCTGTTGAATTCCTGTTCAAAGATTTGTATACCACACCTACTGTCTGCACCTAGCAACCCCTTGGTAACGGCTAACTCAGTAGTACAATATTTTTGAATCAAGATACCTACGGAAAAAAACTGAAAGGGAAAAAGTAGTACCTATGTTTCTTCTAAAAATGTGTTTATTCCTCAGTTTATTCTATTGAAACATTAGTCACAATTAGTTATGCTATCAAACAATGTGTCATAATTCACTAAAGAGATATCAAACATGATTCTAGCGACAACTCTCCAAAAGTATTTGATTCTTCTTAATTTTTTATTTTTATTAAATCTAGATGATGAAGACATGGATTCCAGACATTCCTCTTTGAGCTATAAGGAAAGAAGACGAGAAGCTCATACACAAGCCGAGCAGAAGCGCCGAGACGCGATTAAAAAGGGTTACGATACTCTGCAAGAATTAGTACCTACTTGTCAGCAAACTGATGTATCAGGTAAACAAAAATAGAAAAACTAACTTTTGTAAAAATCTTTACCTACGAGCGTGCGGTAAAGTGCACTTTACCGCACGTTTTTGATTATGGAAAGTATCACTTTACCGCACACTATGCGGTAAAGTTAACTTTACAGCATAGTGTGCGGTAAAGTTAACTTTACAGCATAGTATGCGGTAAAGTGCACTTTACCGAACACTTTGTAGTCCACTTTACCGCATAGTGTGCGGTAAAGTAGAATTTGATATTTATAGTCAAAATTCCTTTCTTTTTCAGAAAATGGATTTTTGATCCTTTCTAAATTTAATCTTATTCTATTAATTAATCTGATTCATTAATTTATTTTATCAATGCTTTTTTTGGAGGAGTAGATGCTCATAGGTAAAATTTTGTACCTAACACATGCGGAAAGTGCCTTTACCGCCCTTAACGGCCTGACCGAACTCCGCTTTGCGTCGTTCGGTCAACTGCCGTTGCGTGCGGTAAAGTATCACTTTCCGCATTTGTTAGGTAAATAACTATTACTGTATTCAATGTTTTGGTTCTTTTGAGATTAGAAAGTTCTCATGTCTCAGCCGTTACGGTAATACTGTACCGCTAACAATACAGTATTTTTATTGGTATTTTATAGTTCTCGGACACGAAGACAGAAATCCTCTAATCCCTTATTCTGTTCATTTTGACAGCTGAATTGTGGATCCAGCCCAACTTTTTTTTGCTTGTTTGCCAACTTTTATTTATCCTGAAGATTTCTGAGTTTCATTAATTTTCCTTTGGTGTTTTTTATGGAGCAATTATTAGAAGTTGAATGAATTATCCTGAGCTTCAGACTGTCTTGGGACTATCCTCGCTTAAGGCTCGCTGTGAACAGCATGACTTGAAGGTTTTGTTTAATGTTTTGCACCATGTTTATTGTTCAAATATGTATCCGAAAGGATAATATAATATACAAAAACAAATCTACCTTACCAGGAATCGACCTGAGAATTGACAAAGAGCAATAAACCCAAAAGGTTGGTATTTATTGCCTTATTTATTTATTGTACTTGGGTATTACTCTTTGCGTTGTAAATGTATTTTTCCCACACCCCGAAAAGGTTTAGGGTGTGAAGATGAAATATAAAAGCTAAAGTTAAGTTAGTCGTTCTGTTATGTTTTAAGACGAAACATTGAAATATATTATCGTGCCTTAAAACGTATCTATCGTGTTTTAATTAAACCACTGATAACCTGAAATATTTAATAGGTTATGGTCCCCAGTTTCGCGTAACACTAATATTGTTACTCAGTGGTGAATAAACGCAATTAATAGACTTTCGAAAACATGGAAAATCGTTGCGCGAGCAAAAGAAACATCCAACCTTTTAATGGTGACCGGTACGGTGTTTGGAAGTTTCGAGTAAAATCATTGCTAACGGAATTAAACATTATCCAGGTGGTTGACAGTGAAATTCCCAGTGATCGTAGTGATGAGTGGCTCAAAAACAATAACATTGCAAAAAGTGTGATCATTGATAACTTGAGCGACTCATTTTTGGGTTTCGCTAAAGGACCAACTACAGCGAGAGAGGTATTTCAGAAGTTAGATGAAATATATGAGCGGAAGAGTTTGGCCTCACAGTTGGCATTAAGAAAGAGACTTCTGACTTTGAAACTACACGGAGATATTAGTTTGTTACAGCATTTCACAAACTTCGATGATATCGTCACCGAATTAATAGCCGCTGGAGCCAAAATTGATGAAATGGACAAAGTTTCACACCTTTTGTTAACTCTACCGTCATGCTATGACGGAGTTATCACAGCTTTGGAAACATTGTGTGAGAATAATCTCAACTTATCCTTTGTCAAAACCAGGCTGCTCGATCATGAGGTTAAATTAAAAAATGATCGGACGACCACCAGTCTAAAAGTGCTCAATGTTGGAACACATTTACCGGCGGCAGATGGTAAAGGTAAAATGCAATTTAAAAAGAAAAAGCATTTCAGGAAACCATCCTACCAACATCAAAACAAAGCGAGCCATCATTTTTCTCAGTATAAAACCACCAATATTCAGTGCGACTACTGTGGTAGAAGCAACCATATCAAGAAAAACTGCCGATTTTACAAAAGGAATTCTGATGAAAAACAGAGAACTTTGCAAACAGTTCACGGAATCCCATCATCAAATAATACTTCTGATGGCTTCGCTTTTATGATTGGACATAAACAAATTTCAGAGCAACAATCATACAAAACCTTGACCTTCTTGTTAGACTCGGGTGCAACTGATCACATTGTAAATAGCCGGGATCCGTTTGCCAGTATCCAGAGACTAGACACGCCGATTCAACTCGCAGTGGCCAAGAATGAAACCACTGTTACTGCCTTTGAAAAAGGAACCATCAACGTCGAATCCAATCTTGGTGTTCTGGGAAAACTAGAGAATGTTTTATACATTCCCGATGCATTTTACAACATTCTTTCAGTTCGCCGCATTCAAGCGTGTGGTATGACCGTTGTATTTGACCAAGATGGGGATAAAATTCTACACGGAAACAAACTTCTGGCAACAGGTAAGCCATTAAATGGTCTAACTGGAATTTCATTCAAAATAATAAGAAATTGCAGTTCTAAGATTGAGCCACAGATTAATGTGATTAACAATAAACACTACCAACTTTGGCATGAACGTTTAGGTCATGTCAGTAGCCAATCATTTTTAAAATTAAAGCAACATCAAATGGTAGAAGATGTTAACCACATTGACAATCTTAGTCCTGCAAACCATACCTGTGAGGCTTGCATATATGGTAAACAAACAAGATTGCCTTTCTCTAAAGCTAAATCCAAAAATCATGTTCAACGAACTTTGTTTATAATTCATTCGGATGTTTGTGGACCCATATCACCCATTACTATCGATGATAAAAATTATTTTGTCACTTTTATTGACGAACTTACTCACTACACAGTTACTTACCTGATAAAATATAAATCAGAGGTTCTTTCCGTCTTTAAAGATTTTATTGCTAAAGGCGAAGCTCATTTTAACTGTAAGGTAGTGTACCTGTATTCCGATAATGGGGGTGAATATTTGTCCAATGAATTTAAAGAATTTTGTGTTCAAAAGGGCATTACTTTTCATTTAACAGTTCCACACACCCCACAACAAAATGGTGTTGCAGAACGCATGAACCGTACACTTACTGAAAAAGCACGTACGATGATAATTACCTCTGGCTTAGATAAATCTTTTTGGGGTGAAGCTGTACTTACAGCCACTTATTTAATTAATATCTTGCCAACTTCTGCTCTGCAAATAAATAAGACGCCATACGAAATGTGGCATAATAAAAAGCCACAATTAGAATTGCTAAAAGTATTTGGATCTGATCTACCGTTTACATACATAATAAAACGAGAAAAACTAAATTTGATGACAAATCTTTTAAAGGCATTTTTGTGGGGTATAATCCTAATGGGCACAAAGTGTGGAATGTTAATACGAAAAGTTTTCTGACGGCTCGCGATGTAATCATTGACGAGACCAATTTTAAAATTACAAGGCCAACAATAGTTGAGAATACCTTATTGCCCAATACGAACCATAAAAATTCTGAATGTTCAGATGTTCATTTTGAACAAGGCGAATCGTCTAAAAGCGTCTCACATTTTCCCGAAAATAACGTAAATTTAAGGAGGAGTGAAAGAGTTAAAAATCATCCTACTCCCACTTATAAAGAAGATCTCGATGATAATATTAACAATGACATATACAGTCATTTGCTCTATGCAAAGTCCCTTTCCAATGCAATACCAAATTCATTTGATGAAATAAAGGCAAGGGATGACCGAGATCAGTGGGAGCTAGCTATAAAGGATGAAATTGACTCCCTCCTTTTAAATAAAACATGGTCAATAGTCGATAAACCCACAAATAAAAACATAGTAGGTTGCAAGTGGGTATTTACTACAAAAATCGATGAACATGGTAATCCAGTAAGATATAAGGCAAGACTGGTAGCAAAGGGATTTAGTCAACAATATTTAAGTGATTATAATGAAACCTTTGCGCCAGTTGCACGAATATCTACCTTTAGATTTCTATTGGCATTTTCAAATCAGTATGAATTATTAGCCCATCAAATGGACGTAAAAACTGCATTTTTAAATGGCGTCCTAAAGGAAGAAATATTTATGCAACTTCCAGAGGGTATTAAAGCCGATGCCAATAAAGTATGCAAATTAAACAAGGCTCTTTATGGCTTAAAGCAATCCTCCAGGTGTTGGTATGAAAAATTTGATAAAACAATGAAAGAGCTCGGTTTTAGAAGTTCCTCAGTTGATCCTTGTTTGTACTTTCTTAACAAAGGTAATATTAATAAAAATTTATATGTTAAACTTTATGTCGATGATTTAATAATCTCAACAAAAGATATGACTACAATGTCAAAATTTAAATCATATTTAATGAGTAATTTCCATATGAAAGATTTAAATGAAGTAAGGCTTTTCTTGGGAATAAGAGTAAGCACCCTCAAATAAAGGCCAGAGGATTACAATTTTGCATGCCGGATCAGAAAATGGTTTTGTTCCAAACTCTTTGCTGCTATCCGCAAAAAAAATAGCCAATTCATCATTAGATTATCATCAAGATACCGATGCAAAATTATTTGAAGAATGGTTTCAGAATCGCCTTCTTCCGAACATACCAGAAAACAGTATAATTGTGATGGACAACGCTAGTTACCACAGCCGTCAAAAAAATAAAGTGCCCAATGCAAGTAATACAAAAGTAGAACTTCAAAAATATATGATGGAAAATGATATGTATTTCGAAGAAAATTATACAAAGAAAGATCTTTTAAACGTTTTGAAATCATATAATGTTAAAAAAGAATATATTTGTGACGATCTTGCTAGCGCTTGTGGTCATACAGTTTTGCGTCTTCCTCCATATTATTGTATTTTCAATCCAATAGAACATATCTGGCATGAATTGAAGGCAATGGTTAGGAGAGGAAACACCTCTCCTACACTTAGTACTGCTGTAATAGATTTAATTAGAAAATGTGTAGATAATATTCCAGTTCAAAGCTGGAAAAATTCTGTCAATCACGTTATAAAAGTTGAAGAAACCTATAATTCAATAGGTATTAATGTTAAGCCATTAATAATTAGTTTAGGCATAGATGAAGATGACAGTGACAGTGAAACGGAACTAAATATAGATTAGGTTTGGTTGAATTGTGTATTGTATTATATTGTATTAGATATTAAGTTTTGGTAATTATTAAGATAGTATAAGATTATAACATAAATAAATAATATTATGAAACGCCTTTTTCGTTTTCATTATAATGGGCACAAAATCCGTACCTGTAAACCTTTGAGTGGGTATTAAGGAACCCGGTACCTACATAAAAGAACCTGGTACCTACACAATAGAGGCTAATAGCTATCTAATTTATGGTAGGGTTTTATAGCCGTGAAGTCAACGAAATATTTTGGAATGGACTTTACAGAGAAACAGAGATACAATTACTCTGGATCAGACGAATTATTTGAAATCTGTATTAAATAAATTTAATATGGCTGAATGTAAACCAGTTTCAACCCCACTAGAAAATAAATTAAATTATGTTGAATTAAATATTGATCAGCCTAATTCGAACCTACCATGTAGAAATCTAATAGGATGCTTAATGTATGCTATGCTGTGTACACGACCCGACTTATGTATAACTATAAGTATATTAAGTCGCTTTCAAAGTAAATGTAATGAAGAGCTTTGGAAATGTTTAAAGAGAGTACTTCGATACATACAAGGATCAATTGATTTGAAATTAACTTTCAAACGTAAAAACTTTGACAATATGCTTGAAGGCTATGTGGATTCTGATTGGGCTAATAATGAGATTGACAGACGAAGTACGACCAGGTATTTATTTAGGGTCTTCGAAAATTGCACGATTTCTTGGAATTCGAAAAGGCAAACTTCTGTTGCCGCTTCATCAACTGAAGCCGAATATATGGCTCTTTTTGAATGTGTGAGAGAGGCAATTTGGCTCAGAAGTTTATTAGATAGCCTTAATTTAAACATTTCAAAACCCATTTCAATTTTTGAAGATAATAACGGTTGTATAGGCATCGCCAACAATCCTACGAACCACAAAAGAACCAAGCATATTGACATTAAGTATCATTTTACACGGGAACAGATCATACAAAATAAGATATCAGTTCAATATATTCCTACAGGTGAACAACTGGCTGACGCATTTACAAAACCATTACCAGCAGTTAAATTTGTCAATGTAAGGAATAGTATTGGACTAGAATGAAGTTGATTAAAATCGTTACCTTTCCAAGAACACTTTATTTATGTACATATATTTTTTTTTGATAATTTAGTAAGTTTTTTTTTTGATTGTTATAATTAGATTAAAACCATATTTTGCTAATATTTAAAAAAATGCATATTGTATACTTAATTTGTAATTAATATATATTCGCAATTTTTGTATCATAATAAAATGGTTCAATTAACTTAAATGTACATATGATAGCTTTTAGGATTATCTATTATTATTATTATTTTTCGATCTTGTTTTTGAGTGGGAGTGTTGAAATATGTATCCGAAAGGATAATATAATATACAAAAACAAATCTACCTTACCAGGAATCGACCTGAGAATTGACAAAGAGCAATAAACCCAAAAGGTAGGTATTTATTGCCTTATTTATTTATTGTACTTGGGTATTACTTTTTGCGTTGTAAATGTATTTTTCCCACACCCCGAAAAGGTTTAGGGTGTGAAGATGAAATATAAAAGCTAAAGTTAAGTTAGTCGTTCTGTTATGTTTTAAGACGAAACATTGAAATATATTATCGTGCCTTAAAACGTATCTATCGTGTTTTAATTAAACCACTGATAACCTGAAATATTTAATATTTATCACTGTCCAGATTTATTATCGAGAATAAATATTCTTGTTCCACCCAGGACGACACGCTCCATTGTTACATTTCATCAACCCTTTAACCGTATAAATTATGGCTTTAATTCATTTTTGCCTAGGTCTAGCAGATTGGCTTATTTTTACTCAAATGTGTTGGACTTATTTTCTTCCTCCTTCAGTTTTTATAGGGATTTGAAGGCAACTGTGATCTGAATGTAAACTAATTGTAGCTTGTATAGATTGTGCTTTGTCATCTATTGTGTGTTGTATATTGTAATAGTTAATATTGTTGAATTTTTATTATATTGTAAATGTGATATATTTTATACGAGATTTTATATATTTATTTTTTAATAAGTATTATATTATTGTATGCATTCGTTTATCAATTATCTATTGTAAAAAATCGGCTTTGCTCGTTAATGAATAAATAAAAGTTGCTGTTCTAGCAGACATAAATAGAGCGTGAACTAATTTTGACATAGCATAGCGTTACCGTAAGGCATCCGCCTCCCGTTAGGTAACAGGCTCTGCTAACGCTAATACCATAAGAACTGTCATACTTATCAGATAACGTTACAGTATCTGAAATTTGAACAGCATGAGAACTCTTTAACATGAACAAATTATACTGTTATTCGGTGCTGTTGGACTGCTTCAATATGTTTGTTCCCAGAAGGAGACATTGTTACAGCAATAAATTTCCTATCTGGTTTTCTTACGAACTAAAAAACCTGATTTTTCAAGAGAAAATTGCTCATAAGCAATACAAGCAGTCGAATAGTGAAGTGGATTATTTTGCATGTCAACGATTTAACACACTTCGGAGGGATTGTAAAAACCTCACCAAGGAGTGCTACAAATTAAACATAGGTGATTCTTAAAGGGCCATAGGCACTAATGTGATAGTTTTCTGGAACTTCTGGAACTCCTGAGGAAATGTTTCTGGCGACAGAAAGAGCGTCCAACGGTGTTGACATAGCTGAGGACATAGCTTATCTTTTTGGTGTTTATTTTGCCTCTGTCTATAACCCCCAGGGAAATTCCAACGCCAGAACTTTTGCTGACCGATTTGAGAATGTTTCAAGCATTGCTATAGACCCAATCGATATTGAGAGGGCTTTAAAGCAAGTAGACATCAACAAGTCTGCAGGACCTGATGGTATTTCTAACAAAGTACTAAAATCTTGTTCTAACACTTGGTATCTCCCTCTATTTATTATTTTTAAAAAATCCTTAAACTCTGGAATTTTTCCAGAAATGTGGCAGCTCTCTTATGTTTGTCCTATTCACAAGCCAGGCAGCAAGAATGATGTAACAAACTACAGACTTATCAGCATCCTGTCTGCAATTCCTAAATTATTTGAGCAGTGGGTTGAAAATATTCTTTCAAAAATATTTCATCAGATTGTGATCAGTCAACAATCAACATCATGGGTTTACAGCCGGTAGATCTGTTGATGCGAACCTGTTTATTCTCTTTACAAATTTTATAAATTCTTCATTTGATAACATTGCAGAAACTCGTGCAATATATACGGACTTCAGTAAAGTCTTTGATAAGGTAAACCATAAAATCTTTCTGTCAAAGCTCTCAAGTAATGGCGTTTCTGGACCCTTACTTTCATGGATGAAATCTTACCTTACTAACAGAATGCAACAAGCCAAGATCGATGGCTATCTTTCATTTCTTTTCCATGCATCCTCTGGGGTACCCCAAGGCTCACACTTGGGCCCCGTTCTATTCACCTTATTTATCAATGATTTAGGATCGTTGCTCTCCTCGAATTTTTTACTCTTCCCTGATGACTTGAAGAAGTTGTATCGTCAGGTGATGTCAGCTCAAGACATACTTATCCAGCTTAATGACATGTTCCTCAACATTGATAAGTGTTGCTGTATAAGATTCAGTAGACTCACCTCTAAGGTTCCCTTTCAGTATTGTTTAGGTGATGGTTGCTTGTCTGAAGTTTCAGTCATTAAAGATCTTGGTGTCTATCTAGATACTAGGTTAATGTTTACCAAGCATTTTGAAGTGGTAATTGGCAGGGCTAATAGAATGTTGGGTTTTATTAAGAGAGCTACTAGGGACTTTACAAGTATACGCCTTATCAAAATTCTTTACAAATCATTGGTCAGATCCGTTCTTGAATTTTCTTGCATAGTTTGGTCACCTTATTACTATCAGATCCACATCAATAGGCTCTTGAGAGTGTTCAACACAAATTTATCAAGTTTGCTAGGTACAAACTGTCTTTGAGTGGTGTGATTCTCAGCGTTGACCAGACTATGACTTACCTAGACTTAACTACTCTTGTTCGCAGAAGGCAATACTTTGATGTCTGTTTTGCTTTTAATATCCTTAACTACTGCATACAAAGCTACAAATATCTTGGATGCTTTTATCTACACACTTAAAGTCATCGGACACGAAGTAAATCTTTACTGCACATTCCTTACTGTCGTACTTCGTACTTACTATTCAGTCCTGTTAATAAAATATCTGCCAATGTAAATAAGCTCTATGAAGGTCTTGACTTTTTTAGTTTATCTCAAGATAAATTCAAGACGCGGGCTAAGAGAATTGTTTTAGGTTAGTGTTTTAGATTATTTTAGATTTAAACTTTTTGCCACTCCAAATGTATGTATTTTTTTATACGTAAATAAATAAATACTAAATACTAGATGCTTTAAAACTTAAAATCGTTTTTTCCTTATAGGATACAAATTAAGTAAAGCCACAGTTCTGCAAAGATCCATAGATTACATACAACACCTGCAACAGCAAAAAAAGAAGCAGGAAGAAGAAAGAAATGCGTTGCGTAAAGAAGTTATCGCACTCCGAATTATGCAGACCAATTACGAGCAGATTGTGAGGGCGCAACAGTCGCAGCCCGGTCACACAGAAACACCGGTGTCAGATGAAGTTAAATTTTCGGTGGTAAGTGTTAAATTTGGCAGTTATTACAACTAAATAGGTAATAAAATTTACAATTTTAGTTCCAAGTCATCATGGACCAACTTTTTATCACATTTAGCACTGTGTCGGTGAGTAATTTTTCCGAGTTGTCTGCAGGAGTTTTCACCTGGTTGGAGGAGTATTGTAAACCTCAAACATTAAAAGATACAGTCTATCAGGTCTTGAGGAGGCATAATAATCAAATGCGTGGATGATTATCACTATTTTGTTTGACTTAGGCAAAGTTGCATTTTTGGTGGTATAAGTTTTTATCAAATAGTTTTCTTTAAATTTATATAAAATACTTGAAAAAGGGTTTGATAGTTATATACTTACCAAATTTATCGAATGACATGATGGCAATGATTTATAGATACCATCTTTGTTTTTGTTATTTATACCTATGAGAAATTTGTAAATAATGGTAAATGAGTTTTTGTTATGTTGAAAATATTTATATTTTTTAGCCCTTTTGTTGAAGATACCATACCATAAGTTTTTAAGAATGTATAGTTTAAGCATGTTTAGGGGATTTCTCTTGCTAAAATATGATTTATATTGCTTAATTACTAAAAATTAAATAGGAAGAGTAAAGGTACCTACTTAAAAGTCTGAGCGATTAGGTAGATTGCTTTATATTTTTTGTTTTGCAAGTGCAGTTTTTCATAAATTGTATATTACTGACTCTGCTGTGATTTGAACAATTAATTTTTATTAAAACAACCACATTACAATTAGAACTAATGAGAAATTACTATATTGGATAGATGTTTAAATTATAATTTTCCATTTTCTACTTTATTGAATAGCAAAGAACATAACAATATGTTGGGGTGCAAATCTACTTGACCATTTTCCGACACCTATTGATAATAATTTGCTTAAAGGGATTTAGTTGTTTGTTGGTTCTCATTGAAACTGGAAATTATTTATCCCTTTACACAAATTTCGGCAATTTGAGAGGCATTATTATAAGGAGCCATAATTATAAGAAACAATTTTAAAATCTGGAAGCAATTTTTTTATATTCTTTCATTCATATCTGTGTACGTTACTTGGTTTGTTCCTAATAATATGCTCAAATGGATACACCCTAATAGCCATAATATACAGGGTGATTCAAATTCGAGATACGAGGTTGCTTAAATAAAGGCAAGGTTGCGCAATTTTATGCTCAACAAAATACCGTTTTGAAAATTTAGAAATTCCGAATAGTTCCGGAAATATTGCGAATAATCCGAAATTTTACGAAAGCGTTTTTATTTTTTTCTGAGCTCATTTGAAGAGATATCCCAAAATAAATGTCAATTCGTCACTGCCACTTTTTCTTGTCTACACGATGCTACCATCAAATTTAAAATCTGACATTTCGTCTTTACCTCCATTTAATCGACCTCGCATCTCTTACCGTTTCCGAGATTTCAATGGAGAGCATCGAATTTGAATCACCCTGTATATTTTAAATACAATTTAAGCTCTATTTTTTGTTGATGTTCTATAATTTTAATAAAAAAATTACCAAGAATATATTATTTAATCAAAGATGTCCACCTTCTGCAACTACTTTCTGCAAGCGCTGATCTCCTTCCTTTTTGTCTAAGGTTATCCCACTGAACAAAATAAGATTACAGTAATAATGAGGTAACATTACACTGCAAACTTGTAAGGTTATATTGAAGTTTACTGTAATGTTGACGCAGTATTGCGGCAAGTACTGAAACAACCTTAGGGTAATATTACAAATGCAAGGTTTATGAATGATAACCTTTCAGCAATATTACTGGAATATTAGATCAAAACTTCAGCAAACTTACGAGTGTAAGCTTACAAATTCAAATATACCTTAGGGTTACTTGCAATTTATTAGTAAGTTTACTGCAATATTGCATTTTTATTACAAATATATTGGGTTCGCCACTTTACTGCAATAAAAAAGTAATGTTGCTACTGCATAAACTCTAAAAACAAGCTGTTAAAATTTGTGCCTGAAACCCATAATAATAATATATTAGGTAGATATTTTATTATGAATAAAAGTACAAGTTTTTGGAAAACAAAATAAAAAGGTTGGTAGGTATATTATGCATATCTATATAATACTCACAATAAAAAAATATACTTAGGTGAAAAACAAAACGTAAAAAGTAATATCTCAAAGCAAAATAAATAAAAATTCTAAACAGAAAAAAAAAAGCGAAATTTTAGATTGGTTGACACACAGGACGAAATAGGTATTGGCTGCTACCACAGAGGCTACTTATATTGTCACCTGGAACAAAAACAAAATCAGGGAGTAGTTCTGTATTTTTATTATAATAATTATTCCCCGTCGTAGCGTAGCCACTTTCTTTCTGGACATTACCTACCAAACGGTTTACGATATTTTTGATCCTAACTAAAATATTATCGTAAAATCATAATAAGTAATATAATAATAATACGGGATTTGTAGGTATGAAAAAAAGAGGTTACGGTTTACAAAAAAAGGGGCCCCATTCCGCAGTATTTTTGTAAAAAGTATTTATTGACTATGCAAACCTTACGCACCTTATTTGAATCCTCATCCATTGTAATCGCTGTATATTTATTTCATTTCCACAGGTTCTAAAATAAAAACTGAATAATAAAAATAACCAAAAAGCAAAGCACTACCTGAACCGATCCAATACATAATCCCAACACAAACACCAACAATTTAGCCGAGATTCGCTTTATCACAGACACAACATTCAACAAGCAGACACAGCACTCAACTCAAACGACAAACAGCGACTTGATGGCGTCGATTTGCTTTCGGTTTAGTTCGTATCCCCGATGTCGTTCCGATCGTTATTAATGGCGGCAAAGCGTTCGATTTTCCAATATATTATTTCTGCTATATTGCAGCAAGTTTACATTCAATATTAAATTATAACATTGCAAAATAATATCAACACAACTTTAAGGCATCTTTGCGATGTAACCTTACCTACAAGTTATATTTCCAATTTTGCAGCAAGTTTACATTTGGTAGTTATTATAACATTGCAAAAATTATACCAGTTCAATTTAAATGCATATTTACAATGTTAATTTGCGTACAAGTTATAATTTCTAATATGCGTTAAAATTTCAAGGATATTCCATTTTGTAATTTATTAACGTAATGTTGTGTCAAAAATAATTCAATATTACATTGTAATGTTGCGAAACTAAGATCAGAGAATATCAGAGTAATATTGCATTAGGCTTTCGTAACATTGCATGTTCAGTGGGATAATAGGAATAATGACAAAGTGGATTTCATGAATAAATACTCCATCTATCAATGGTTATTGGTTCATTATTGCATATTGTCACAACTTTATCTTGTCGTGACTGGGTACATAACATAGGGTCAGGAGGATAGAGACTCGCTGGTTATTTAGTTTAAGGTATATTGTAGAGTCAAGGTTATAATAATTAGTAATTACCAAAGGATGGCCCTATGGTAGATAGTACATCTTCTAAAGGAGCAATCTGCTTCCTGAAAAACATAAAGCTAAGTTAGGTGCGATTCGTTAAAGTAAAGGGCCGTCCAGAGCGGCTTTCCCAAAAGAGATAATTGCATTGGACGACACGAAGACTGAAAACACCCAGAGGAGCTTTCTCAAGACCTCTCCACTCAGCGCAATTACCTAATTGCGCTGAGTGGAGATTTGAGGCCAGAGGAGCTTTCCCAAAAGAGGTAATTGCGCTGGTTCAAGTCTGCCCATTCATGTCTTGCCGACCACTATTTATATTTGTTTATCGTTGACTCACCAATCAATAAGTCGGTGAATCATATACAGGGTCATATTTTCCTAAGTAGCTTTTTGCTTGTTGACATATGCTTCCCCAATGCTATAGAAGAGCCACCATCGCTTTAATAATAAAAAGTACTTGAATTTAAAAACATCATATAACGAGATTTATACAACATTATATAGAAAAAAGGGATGGGAACGGGTGCATTATTATGCAGTCAACAAAAACGATGAATTCAGAAATAGAGTATATACAGGGTGTGCCACGAGGTTTCTCCCAAATGATAACTTCGGAACGCATCATCGTATGTTCCAATGTATAATTTTTTATCAATTTCTTTACCAAAGCCTCAACAAATATGGTATTGCCGATTTTATTATTTAATTTTCTAACGAAAAATGCCATAATATACCATGAGTTACATTTAAGATTCGAAAGATGACGTCACTTGACCGAAATTGAAGCGAAACTGGTGAAATTGGATGACAATGGTAAAAACAGTACAAAAAGTTACCCAGATCCTGAAAATTTCAATTACATATATTGGATGACGCGTTCCGAAGTTATTATCTGAGAGAAACGTCGTGGGACACCCTATGTTATCTCAAAAACTCTTGAAATCACTTTATATAAAAACCTCGATAAAAACACTAATTTATTTTATCCCATTTTGACGTTTAAAAATGACATTATTGAACGCATAACAATAAAGGTAAGTAGACGTTTATCACCTCAGTGATTTAATAGTACATTAAAATACAAGTTTCATAAAATGTCTTATGAAACGAATATTTTATACTATTTTTTCTATTTTGATATTGTTTAATTAAGAAAAAAAAAATTTTCTTGAACATTTTATTCTCATATTTCCTGATTTCATATGTTTAGGTTGGTAACACTTCTTGCCAAATATAGAAATCTTCTATTATAAAATCGCGAATGACAGTTCGATGGCCATCAGTCAGCCAGTGTTACCAACGTTCGATAAGTAAAAAAGGAGTGTCACAAAGAGCTTCTTTTCGAAACTACTTTTAGTGTCGAAAAGACTTCAATATGACACCAAAATAGAAAAAAATATTTTAACTCACTCTCGGCATTTTAAGTCACTCTGCCCAACTAAAAATCTGAAACCTCAGTGATTTAAAATATTTTTAACTCACTCCCGGCATTTTCCCTTGTACTTTATTTGTAAAGAGTTCTTGACGTGACATGTTCGGACAGGATAACTTGCTGAAGTAGCATCTAGACTTTGCGATACTTAGTACGACCCAACAAACACAAGTACGTCTTTAGTACGTCCATAATTCGTACTTTTTCGGACGAAAGTACGTCCGGGGACGTACTTTTTAGGTCCCGCCGACGTACGAGGGACGTCTTTAAGACGATCGTTTTCCACAAAATAGTGCGTCCCACGTACGTACATTCAGGGACGTACTCAGTACGGCTTTTTAGGTAGGTGTTGGGGACGTACATTAACGTACGTATTTAGTATAGCTTTTTAGGAATGTGTTTGGGACGTACAGGGTTTTCCCATATATTTTTTTGCACCTTACCAGAACTGGTTGATTGAATAGGTATCAAAAATATGTAAATAAAAATTTTATATTTACACCTTTTTGATACCTATTCATTTAACCTGTCCAGATGGGGTGCAAAAATATATGGAGAAAACCCTAAACATAGAGGTACGAGGTACGTATTTATGTGTAGGTATCTTTATAGTGAAAAATAAAACCATATAAATATTTATTGTATTTTCAAGTTACAATTTTCATACTCAATAAATGCCTCAACAATAACACTAAAAAACTGAAAAAAATTAACACAATATCAAATATACCATACTCTTAAACTTAACCTTATTGAACAACAGTACATACCTACCTAATATAACAAAAAAAATGAAGGAAAAGTGAAGAAAAATTCCAACCTAAAAAAAATATACAGAAATAGATAGGTATTCTACAAATATAATAATATAGAGAATTGTAAAGGGGCATAAACCAGAAAAAGTTTCACACAGTAATAATATTGGTTAAAAGTATTATTATACACACAAAATACATAGTAAATTGGTATAGCCAAGCCGCGAAGCTGCCAAGCTAAACACTTAAACCACAGTTTCGGCGTTGCTGCAATCAATACAAAATGGTTCTCGCGTCACTTGATTTGGCAAAAAAAAACAAAAATAGAAGAAAACAAAACCTCACAGTCCTCACACCACTCTACAAACAGACTACAAACGAGCTACAAACACAAGAGGTAAAAAGGCAAAATCAAACAGGAACAACTCAAGCACGGCGTCATATCAAAATGATGAGCCCTGCCAGTGTTGCCAGATGTCAAATTCAAAATTATCAGAAGAAGTTTGTGTCAATTTTTTTGACTTTCATCTCTAATCTCTATTTATATTTTTCTAACGAAAAAATTAACGAAAAAGAAACGGTGCTGCGAGCTCAACTCATTTCTAGTTGGTAAATGTTTGGTGTGCGCCCAGCAGTACGTCAAAACCACCAACCAAATAAATTTTTAATTTTCAACTAAAAATTTTAAAAATATGCATTGAAATTGTAGTTTCAATAATTTATGGTAGATTTAGCTTCTGATTATTGAATATTGAATCGTAGTCAAAATTATGGTAGATTTCGATAATTATCGGGTCATTGGCAACACTGCACCCAGTGCACACTGCACCCTGCCGTAGCCAAGCGACCGAAACGGCGGCGTCCCTTGTTTTCCACTCATTGGATTATTTCTTGGTTCATTTCATGTTTATTTTAAACATTCGACCATTTATTTAGTTCAGGTACCTAAATGAACTATAAATCCTTG